GCGACTTGGCCTTCGCGAGAGGGTGCAAAGGAGGGTTATGACGTAGACCAATCGCCTCAACCATATTTGGTGGTTAGAAGACCCCGGAGTAATCGGCCCCACGTCCAGGTCAAGGAACTTGTTAACCTTTTGTAAAAAAAGGTTTGTAAGTCCTCAAACCCTTGTGACTATATATGTACATAAAATTAAAGACACATACATAAAATCATTTTTAAGGCATCACTACAGGGTGGTGAACATTCTATGTAATGTTGAAAGAGTTTGGCCTCAGGAAGGATTTTAATCTGCACATTTACCACGCCGAATAAGAGCGCCATGATGGAAGATTCTCAATTTATCAACACTATTTGATTTCTATGCGAAATTGAGAAAAAAATATTGAGAAGCGTAATTTGCAAATAAAATTTTGAGAGAACCATTAAAAAGACAATCAATAAAACTTTTTGTACCTTAAATTAAAGGCTATGAATTAATAGGAAATAGCCCGTGGGTATATTTTAGAAATAAAATTATAATGAGTATTTTATGCATAAACTTAGTCATTTATACAGGCAAGTGTTTGTGCCGGCAGCTGCCTGTAATTTGGGTAAGTTGGTCGTCGTGCGCACGCGTAGTCTTTAGATCTATGGGCTCAGATTGTAGCCTTCTCTTGCGGTACCACTAATGGCCAATGAAGTGTTAAGGACTTGTGATAGACAGCTGCTGGCTCTACAGTTATGATTACCCTGGCATCAAAGTTAAAATTATCTATATTCAAATTTGGTAGTACTATATATTATAACCCTTTTGAATTAGTTTTGTTGTTGTATATGATTTTCAAAACAACAATTTTCAACTCTATGAATCAAAGTGCAATGATGACCAACGGAAAGTTGTAATTATGCAAATACCACATTGAAGATGAGTTCTTACAACAGTTTATTTATAGAAGATTTTGATATAATTATATCAAAGTTCTCTTAGTTTATCGTCATGATTTATAGTGAATATAATTAGCAATTTCCTACTAATGTATCTATAAGAAAAACTATACTAAACGACCAGAAAAGAAAAGATAAACAAGCAGTAGATATCAAAGAAGTATGGCAATAATTTAATTAGATAGGTACTTTAACTAACTATTCACATAATTAATAATAATACTACTATAAGATACTAAAAAGATCTTTCTTCTCGTAAGAATTCTAATGATTTAATTAATGATAAAATAGAATCTGAACCAAGTGGATAGATATTTACTACATACATTCTTTACTGCAGCTCCAGTCTAAAGTAAAACTGTTTACAGGTTGAATTTAATTGATGATAAAGTAGAGATGTATTGGTGCAGATTACACGGTTGCATGCAAGCAGCAGATGTGCTAATGGCGTATAAACCACTGCAGGCATTGATTGCACCGGGGATCGGTAATTGGCGAGCTCAATATGGCACGACTCAATCCTGAGTAACATTGGGTACTCAATGTCTGGAGTGGTTCACGATTTCTGAAGTGGTTTGTGGTAAATTATGTGACCTGTTTCAGTCTGTATTGAAGGCGATTTATCACATTTTTTTTTTATGTTAGTTATCGAATGAATTTGTTTAACTTTAACATAGATTTAACGACATAAACAACAAAAAACAAGATGCATTAATTTGTAGTTAAACAATACAAAATAAGCTAATTTATTTGTTTCGAAAAAAAAATACTTCATTAAAATCATAATTTGGCGAATCAGTTATTTCGTAGATTATCTGACGCTTTGTGATTGTGAATTGATGAATAAGAGGTTATCGAGATCGAATTCCCTCCATTTACCGGTAAAAATTCTTGAATAGATTTATTGATCCATGATAGGGCTTAGCGAATGTAGAAACAATTTTTATTACATTTCTGCTGCTGTGAACCAATCTGTCTGTCGATTACGGTACAATCGGGACAGTAAAGGAACGTATTAATCGAGTTTCAAATCTGTTGTGTTGCATGTTCCGTGGCGAATGGTAACGTTCTTAAATTGTCCGAATGTGGCCGTTGCCGCGATATTACCGCGACGAATCCACGTGTTATTACTATGAACCAGGAACGTACCAATAATCATAATCACTCTTCTAAGCACGCCTTTACAATTACAGTTTCTAAATTTATTTTAAAAGAGAGTATTACTAATTTTAGGTATTTAAATATTTCGCGAATGCGCGATTTTCATTTTTATTTTATCTTCAAGAATTCATAAATTTAAATTCTTGACCTGCTTAAACATTTTTTTTTTTCTATAAATGTCTATGCTATAACTTATGACTCATTTGTGTTACCTACGTATGTGGCGTTATAGTTTCAGTCACTTTGGTTATGAGTTAATGGTATTAGTTTTTATTTTTTTATTTTACTTTTTTATAATCTTGAGTGCCATCTCTATTACAGTTTAAACTAATGAAATTGCCACCTTAATATTCAGATAAAAAACACTTATTTCCTTCGTACTTGAAATCGTTAACTGTCAGATACCGTTGAAACAGTCTGACAACAGGTTTAAGATGTGTCGATCATTCGAATGCTCTCCGATAGTGGATGGTAATGACACTGAATTGAGTGATGTCGCAATGTAATCGGCTACGAGTCATTTCGCCACTGACAAAAAGTCGAAGCTTACTTACATCTACAGCGCAGTTGTGATTATTATAGCCTCTGAGAGTGCTCTGGACGGCGCGTTGATTATATAACTGGAACCCGATAAAGGTTTAATATTGTGCACCAAGTGTTTCAGAAGTTTAAGCAGGAGTGTGATATAAATGAAGAATATTTTGTCAACTTGAAAATCATTTGAGGGACAGGGAGGTATTCGTTAAATTCTTAACTAATTTTATTACATTTTTGATCATTAGAAACTTGAATGAGTAGGCACATTGCAGGAGGATTATCGTTTGAGTTTGATAGATTGTCACATATTACAAAACGATTCTGGTTGACCTTCTGTGGGCTTATCTGCAGCGGATACGAGGTATTGTAGGCGGTGCACGCGCAGGTGTATTACATTAAAGTTATACTGAACTAACTAACTGACTATACTGAAATTCAAATAATAACAATGCGACGTCATTCAACATTTGCTAAAAACAACATTGCTCTGATGAGTGCTTTGTAATACATTTCGAAGATGCGAAAAAAGTACCTAAGACAAATTTCTGCAATATCCTTCAGTTCTTATTTTTGTAAAAGAATAAAAAGCATTTAAAGATAAAAACGTCAGATACCTTTTGTGGACATTATTTATTTTTAATAAAGGTAGTTCTTATCAGTTCATTTTTGAATAAGTAGTTAGCATATTATTATAATATTCTGTGATGACATTATCTTCCAATATACTTAGCATATTATTATAATATTCTGTGATGACATTATCTTCCAAATATGTCATGGGTAATTTCTCGGTGTAAGAGATTTCCTCGTTGTCATATTTCCTTTACACATCATCATTTACACTTATCGGTTAGAAAAATATAGCGTTGTTTCTTTAAGTGAACTCGACGAGTTTCTAATGCAATGGAAAAAACGATAAATATTTGTTTTAGTCTGACAACGACGGAAAGCGTTCGTGTAATTGGTGTTCAGCAAATAAAAAAATATATTTGAGTTGACCTGTGTGTATACGTTCGGATCACATATGATCATTGATCTGAATAACTAGCCGATGAATTTACTTGAGGATAGTATATATAAATATACGTATAATATTCATGAGAATTTCTAAATTATTTTGGCATCTTTTATAATGAAGTCAGAAATGGTGCAAAGAATAATCTACTTATAGTCTATTTGTACACAACTCGTAACAAAAAAGTTGGATGAAGTTAAAAAAAATAATGCAGCATGCACTTAACATGCAGTCGGAGGTACGAAATTGAATAATAACTAATAAGTCAAATAAGTCTCTTTTTGCGCATGCATGTTATGTATGATGTTGCATATTTTTTATATTGCTCCAGCCTTTTCAGTTAGTTGTTTTTCATGCAGGCGGGTTCTTTGTTTTCTTTTTAAATTATAATGTAGTTTCCCGATATCTAGTTAGCTGTAAAAATATTCTGTTAAAAATACAGCGCAAAATATGCGCTGCTGCTGTATTAGAGGTTGAATCAAATAAAACCTATTTCAAAAGTTAAAAAAATGTTGATTGTTTGCATTGTATTTAGTATACTGTGGTGCTGTATTCGGCGCTGTATTTTTACAAGATATCAAAGCTGCTGTGTACTCAGTTGAATCCAGTGTTGGTACATAGGTATATTCTAAAATGCCTGGAAGGTTTTTTTAAGTAATTTAAATAAATATATTTTATTAGAAGCTAAAGAAACATATTTGACTATTTATATTCATGCCACATTACATAAAATTTTTAGAATCACGTGTGTTTTATGTGTTCTAATTAAGCTTGGTCCCGTCTGCATCTGTAGTAGTTAGCTAGATCCCACAAATTCACGCTGAGTCCATTTGTAAAGTCATTCGTGCGTTTATCCTGCGTTTCTTTGGGTAAGGCCTGTACTCCCGGTAGTGAGAACTTTAACAAGCCGGTGATAATGATGATGATTGCCTATTATTATATAAATTAGTATTAGCACTTCTGCCATTTTTAATTTTATATCCCATTCAATAGTTATTGATTACTTACTAAATGTTATTATATGTTCTCGTCAGTGGTTATAGTATTTTAATTTGCCTTGAGACGATATTTATTTGTCTTAATAAATCCTGCCCACAAATGAATATTATTATTTCATAAAGGTGTAGCATTTTAAGATCCTCCAGTTTTAAATGGTTTTCATTTCGGATGGAGTCAAATTTATAGTTTTCAATTATTCAGCTTACGTTTTATGGTATGTAATTTAAAAGAATATTCTTGTTTTAACGTTTATTTGACTTCTGCTTTCGAGTTGGAGTTTGATCATATTTTAAACTACCCAATAGAAATGAATACCTTTCACGCAACACAATCAACGCAGTTCACGTTGCATTTTATTTTAACGAATTCTACGTTTTCTCTAATAGTTGTATCGCGTTCTCGTCTGTCGTTTGAGGTTTCTTGTCCGTTTGCTTCTTGTTACGTCCGATCTGCTCTGCCTCGGCGACGGTGTCCGGCAGTTCCGTATTGGCAGTCTCCGGCATAAGCAGCGTCAGCACGCCCGATAGCAGAGATGTCAAACCGAATATTAGCGCTGGTAGTCCGGACCAGTACGAAATCTGTAAATTTATAGTCGGATTTATACCCGGTTCCAGAATTAAAAATTTTAAGTTAAGATCGTCTCAAACTTTACTTAAACGACATTTAGACAGGTTTTCGTTTCTGATATTACTCGTAGTTTGATAACACTATGACTTTTTAACTTGTAAAATGTAAAAATCTTAAGTTAATAATAAAATAATAAATATTTAACAACATCACATACATTGCTCAGATTCCAAGATGAGTAGCCAAAGGCCCCGTATAGTGGAGTATCTGAGACAACGAAGGTACCACAACACCCAGACCGTAGTCAATATAGAAAAGTTCATTTTCTACATTGACCCGACCGGGAATAGAACCCGGGACCTCAGAGATGGCGACACCTTGAAACCGGCGTGCGAACTACTCGGCTACGGAGGTCGTCAAAGGAACCACAATAAGTTATTGAGAATAATCAGCTGAGATTTTGTATACAATTCAGAAATCGGCTGTAAGTCTACCATTGGTTTGCACACATTGAATTATGCGGATCAAAGCGTTTATGCCTAGCCCAAAAGAAATAGGGGCGTAAAGATATAAGTAAGTAAGTATCGTGGATCATGGAAAATCATTGTTTTATCGGAGTAAATTTAATGGTTGTTCAAAACAAAGTCAACACTTGGTCATGTCTTGAGTTTCAAGACTCAACACACATTTTCTTCATTAAATTAATGCGCTTTTTGGTAGAACGAAAATTAGGTTAAATTTCAGGTTTCTTCGTTAGCGCAATTTTTGTAAAAACTTGTCTTAAAGTTTTGAATTTATGTATCAATATACTATTATAATCAAGCAGCAGATACCACTTTAAAATTAAAATCGTCTGTAACAAAAACCGGTTACAAGACCAAATGCAGTTGTCAGAAGTAAATAAAGTGTGATTCAGATGTCACTAACTAGGAGTGGCGTCTGAGGAGCTATCAGCGAGCCCAGGCGTCCCACCGCCGAGCAAATGGAGTGCATAGAGTTTCTGGTGTAAGTCGGGAACAGCTCTGACGTGTACATGTACACTATGTTGTACGAGAACGTCGCCAGGGATTCGAACGCCAGGAACAGCGCCAACCGCAACCACGCGTACCCTGGATACCAGAGATATTATCAATGAATGTGCAAACTAGCGAAAAAATAATTTGACGCTGCTTGGGATCTTTTGTGTTGTAGATTACTTTACCACCCACGTACAATAAGGGGCAGGCAGTACCTACAGTCCTCTTTCTCTGATGTTTAATCATAAGAATATAAACATCCATAACTCATTTGACTATAGGTATTTTTAAATGGTATAAGTTTTTGCTTATTAGCTATGAATTGAAAAAATCAAAAATCTGCTTTGGATATAGAGATCATTTATATATTTTGATTCGATAATAAAATAAATTTGAAGAGTATTTATTAGTAAAATATGTTATTAATGCTTCAAAAACATCAACGTTTAAAGTTATCTAGCAAGGCAGCAAAAGTATTACCTTTCGACACAAAAGGCTGTGCTACACAAAATATTCCACCGATCAGGAACGACGTCACAAGCGGTAACTTCCTCTTGTATTTGGACAGCGCCAGCCAATAGAACACGTTCGATGGAATGTCCATTAACATTAGAAGTGCAAAGTTCACGTACTTGTTACCATCGATGAACACAGAACTGATCATCATACCGTAGTTGATCAGTGTTATGGTGAACCACCATACCATACAAACTAGAAACCGCTGCATCATGATTCTGGACTTGAAAGTCTTCAGCAGTAATTTCTTGTCATCACATTTCTTCGTTTCCTCGTTTGTATACTCAAGTTTGTGTAAAGTCATTTTATCTATGGTCACTCCATTTTTCTTGGCTATTTTTTCTATTAGTTTTATACCTTCATCTTTTCTACCTTTGCTGAAGAGCCAGCGGACGCTCTCGTCAAGAAATAAAGAGTAGCTGAGTATGATAAGTGTAGGTGCATAGATGGCACGCAAGAAATGTCGCCAGTAAGGCAATGCCCACGCTATGAATGGCATTATTATCAGTCCACCCGTATAACAGTTCAGCAGAATCATTTGTATTAACACTGCTCGCTTTTTTTCTACTATCTCTATACCTGAAAATTGATTAAGCAAATTCTTTATCCATCTCTATCAACACAGTCAGATTTTTACCAATTTAAGATAATTATTTTCTGTTATCAACTAATATCCTTACTTAACATAAACATTGGTGATAGTGCATCCCCGATGGCAGCCTCCAAGGTTTCCAGTACAACATATAACCAGAAGGAGGTGGCAAAGCTCTTAGTGAGACCAAGCACCGCACCCATCGTACCTGCGAACACAGCTGCGGTTTTCCGTCCAAACCTGGAACATATTGTTGTAATACATAAGTAAAAGTACATTGGTCTTACATAATTATTATTCAATTGAACAAAATCCATACAAGATATTTTGTGCAAATAACAAACAACATTATTTGCTTTTATTACTAAGTTTCTACTGGAGTAATGATAATATGACTGCATGTCGTAGTTTTTTATGAGCTCTTTATGCATGGATGTCTGAATGAACATTACTACGCATATTTTTGTATTGTGAAAAGGCTTTATTGAAAACGAGGCTGGCTAAAATGAGCCGCTCACCGCAGGGTGTATGACACCGTACACATTAAAATGAAGAAGACGTTAACTAGTGGGTTTATTTCATTTCACGGAGAACGAGATCTTGCGTCATGTTTTAACTACAGACTGTAATTTGAATTTCTCGTAATGTTTAAAGCTAGTAGTAAATTTATTTAGACTTTTCACCTAAATTTTCTTAATTTTTTGCGTAATCAATAAATTAAGGCGATAATACATTTACATTTTCTACAAAACTATGATGTAGCGAGCCCCCATCCCTCAACTTTAATGCATATATCTAAGCCAGTTTTTGTTTAAATTGGATAAAAAAACCACGTATCTAATATTTTTCTATTATCTGACTGGATTTCTTTCTTTTTACCCAGTCGTCATCCCTATTAGAAGTGTAGTGTAAAGACGACGGTAACTTGTGATTGTAAACTATAAATATTATTGTGCAAGACGCATTTCCTGCTTGTAAGCTTGACTAAATAATAACAAACGTGTTTAAATGTTCAGAAACCTACGAGTGAATGTATTTTAAACAGTTTTCACAATCGAAATCCTTTCAATTTGTATGTTTTTTATTATATATTATCAATTTTTCATTCACAATGGTGTACTGATAAGTATTTTAATGACAAAAAAAGAAGAATAATTCTATACTCATATATTATTATAAAGAGGAAAGGTTTGTTTGTTTGCAATGAATAGGCTCCGTAACTTCTGGACCAATTTTAAAAATTCTTTCACCTAAGGAAAGTTACATTATTTGCGGTAAACATAGGCTATATTTTATCCCGAAAATCAGCAAATAAAGGGATGAAAATGGGAGTGGAAATGTGTATGGAATGAAAACGTTACCATAGCAATGATCGTTTACTGTTCAATATGTCATTGTCATTATATCCGTGTCACTGTGTCATGATATGAGTCGATATCCAAATAAACAGTTCCCTAGGCACCACGCGGGCAAAACCGCTGGCGGAAAGCTAGTATTTAATATTTTAAGTGTTACCTATTATACAAAAAATATCAATATCATTAAATGCATGACATAAATTGATAAATGATAGATATCTCAAAAGCCACTTATTAAAAAAAAACTATTCAAGTCGGGTATAGGTCTTCTGTAGGTTTATTACTTAAAATAATAGGCGTCCGACTACAATAGCATTTTATTGAATAAGTTGGTTTTGAGATAAGTATTATTTATGACTTTTTTTAAAGTATGAAGTTAGATCTATTTAAAAAAAAGTTTTTATCATCGGAACCGGATTAGCAATTATGTTTAATAACAAATAATGGATGCTGTCTCCCAATTAATAAAAATACTTAGACTACTTACACACCATCGTCCTCAGCGAAGTTTCATAATCCTATTATTTTTCACGTTTTTGCAGTTTTTTTTTTTTATATTACAAGTATTTATTCATAATTGTTTAATACTATCCATCTACATATATATTCACTCTGTATCCCTTGTCAGGTAGGCAATGAGGATCAAACTACAATATGCGGTCCTTTCATATATCTTGCGTCTTACTCTTTTATTAGTCTTTACATAAATACTCGCCGGTTTTTATGGCTTCTGACATCACATTCACCTTTGTTTAATATGATAGTAGTAAGTGGAAAACATATTTTTACTGATATTTACATTCAATGTACAATTGTACATATATGTAAAAGAATGGAATAGTATATAATCATCGAGGTTTATAGAAGTAATGCTATATACAGGAAAATTTCATTTAAAACTCTTAGAATGTAGGAATTAAGAGTCACAGTGGATTGGAGTATTTAATATATTTCACGTTGTAAATACATAAAAGTCAGACGAGAGTAAAAAAGAGAGTGACATAAAAAACAATAAACAGTGTATAAATTACTAATTCAAAAAGGTATACGAAAAGATGCCAGTGTCTGATTAATATAGAAAAAGGTTTTATCTACAAAAACTAATAAGTTTATTATAATTATTTTATAGCATTTATATACTCGTATGTACATGGCTCAGCTGCCAAATACCTACAGTTTGTATTTTAGAAAGATGGTACTAAAACATCCAGATTCAAGAGAATAAAGCTAGGATGTGGTGTGTACCTGTCTGAGATTTGGCCCTGTATGAGCAGTCCGATCATGTTCCCGAAGCTGTGCGCCGTGCCGACCAGTGTGGGCTTCCAGTCCTCACATGCTAGACCAAACTGAAAATAACAATAATAAGTACTCATTATTAAACAAAAAAAAGGAAGGTCACGTGTAGCTTGGTGGCTTAGAGGATAAGCGCCGCGGCTCGCGGTCGTTGTTGTTAAGCAACTTTCGCAAGGGTCGGTCATAGGATGGGTGACCACAAAATTATTAACTCGAGCTACTTCGTGCTTCGGAAGGCATGTTAAGCCTTTGGTCCCGGCTGCATTTGCAGTCGTTAATACCCTCCAATCCGCATTGGGCCAGCGTGGAGGGTCATGACCCATCCTCCTTAACCATCCATAAGGAAGGCCTGAGGCCCTGCAGTGGGGACGTAAAAGGGCTGATGATGATGATGAAATGTGAGTCAGACTCGCGCACAAGTTCAACTCAAGAAGACTCAAGTTTCCGTACCGAAATCAAACAAACAATCACGTTTGTTTTGTGGGAGCCCCCTTTAATATTTAATTTGTTCTGTTTTTTAGTATTTGTTGTTATAGCGCCCGGTGACTGACGGACAGATAGCGAAGTCTATTGTAGTAATAGAAAAACCCGTTTTACCCTCACAAGCACAGAACACCAAAAATAGATAATTATTATTCGTTAACTAATGTTCAATTTATCAGATCTTGTTAAGTATATACCTTCTGTTACTTAATATGACGATTTTTTTATCACCGGATATTACATGAATATTGCCCATTTGTGAAGAAAATTAGCAAAACTTCAGTAGACCGGATTGAGAAAGGTCGTGGGTTCGAATCCCATCTCAGAATACCAGGAACAAAGTGGAATTTTGTAGCATTTTTCATTAAGAATATTTTACATTCTATGGTATTACAGTATAAATGCTTATTAAATAAAAGAATAAAGTTTTTGTAACAAAGTAAGTTTTCGTGATATTCGTTACGATATAGGTACGTTTATTACGATATAAACGTATATCGTAACTGCCATTGTTGGCCCGTGGGACCGGTTACACTATAAAGCGCTGATAAACATCAAGGTTAGCTTAATATTCACATTAATAGAAAGTAAAAGTCTTCAAATCAGTTGTGAACACCAAACGAGAATAAGTTAGGAAGGGAAAGTATATACCTTTATTGGCAATTCAACCAATAAAAATAACAACAGTCGTTTATATTGTACTGGGCTTTATACCAGTATCGGTAGCTGGGCATACGTATGTCTGGCTGCGCGAGCGCACATGAACAAAAATATGCAAATGATCGGTACTATATTGTGCATCGACAAATTGCGCGGCACAACTATGGCACACACAACAAAGCGGCGCGCACGTCGCTGTGCATTCATTTGAGAGGGAACTTATTCAATATTAGTGAACTCATTGCTGTGTGCAATAAGATAGAGACAGTCTATTGTCTCTAAATCTCTACGTCTATTATAAACGAAAGATTTGATTGTGTGTTTGCACTTGCAGTGAATTGGCTCCGAAACTAATGGACCGATTTTTAAAATTCTGTCACCTACATTATACACGGATTACATTTACGCGGGTGAAGTTGTGGGAAAACAGCTTGTCACTTATATATCAGTGAATGATCTTGACAGATATGGATTGGAAAATCTAGAGGACATTCTTTGCCGGATCGACATACGGGACTCAGCAAGCTCACTATTAAACAAAATCTCAATTTCAATTCAATCTAATGACAATCTTAATTTTCATCAAATCAATACTTATTCAATGTCAATTAGTTCATTCAATAACTACGCAATATTGATCCAATTGGCACTAATATATTAAATCAAAATAATAAATTGCGTTCAAGAGTAAGCATGCAGTTCTGCATAACGGCGTAACATATTTTCAAAATCTTTGTAATACTTACTTCAGCAACAAAGCTATCTGGTATCTCGTACACCCAGCGGCTACAGCTTTGCACGCTGCTAGTGTTGAATTTCCCACATCCTGGCGTAGCTGGGGTGTAGTGCTGGCATTGCTTGATTCCCTCCTCTACTACATCGGGTGAAGACACGTTCAACCAGGGCACTATGAAGCTTGAGTTGTCTCTCTCACATTCCAATATCTCGCATCTGTATTTGATTTTAAGAAGACTTCAATCTCTGACATATTTAGGTGGATATTTAAGTTAATTTTAACCAAGAGACATTATTTAAGCTTTCCTAAAAATGGTCATTGTAGGGATGAAACTCGTGTAGAGTTGGTAATGGTTGCAATTAGGTATGGAAGTTACTAACTACCTGTTTTATTGTTTGTTAATTAATGAAATTCCGCAAGTTAACGCATAATTCTACTCAAGCATTTAGTAGAGCTCATATTTTTTTACAATGAAGAAATAGATAAATGCATTTATTACAATAATTTCATATGGATTTAATATTTGGCTATATCGATTTGTTAATTTATTTGATTGAATACAGTTACTAAAATAAACTCGTCAAGTGTGAGTGAAATTTCAATACTCAGTGTTCCGTACAGATATTAATGTTTAAGTTTTCCTAAAATTTGTATGTAAAGAACTGCTATATGTATGTTTCAAAATTTAAGCCCAGTAGAGTTCGAATCCAAATATCGCACGATTCAATGTGCGGATGTATATGATTTTTGAAGTTATCCACGTCCTGCATCTCGTATTATTGTGTCGCCTATCCGAAATGGATCATTTAGTGCGGCTTGCGGTTTATATCACCGGTTAACATTATTTGTACCATTTAGTTTACTCGGTTCTGTTATGAAGGGAAGGATTGACAGATTATTAAGTGATATTCTTTTTCTTATACTTTGAGGCATGGAACCTTAAAATAAGAAGTATATGAAATTGCAGGTGTACTCAACATTGACACAAATATAAATGTTAGTATCAATATTATTTAGGAGCTTGTTTGTGTTACTGAATAGGTAATGTTCATACTGAGTGATTACCGACTTTATTAGTGAACCTTGGTGTTTGAATCCTATAGAGGTAGTGTTTGCGAGTAAACATTACTTACTTCAAGCACAGATAATATATCGTGAATATTTATTCAGTTGCCACAATACAATAATATATCACAATTTTATTAATCTGTATTGTCATGATTTCAGTAGTATGAAGATTAAATATTTGAAAAACGAACCAATACGATTCGAAAGAGGTTTTGTTGTGATATTTTCAATACACAATAAAGTATTGGGTGGTGTTGTGCCTAGGGTTGGTAACTTTTATTAGAAGACATAGATTATACATGATTTCAAAGAAGGTAAATAAAGAGTACGGTGTTATTAAGTATCATTTATGTGTTTAACATTTTTAAAAAGGGTTTTTGGTTTCTTTTGGTAACGATAATAGGTGTACATTTATGATACTAGTATCATAAACATCATCAATTTCATTATCAATGAATTTGTTTGATACGATATTTGTATTAATCGTATGATAAAAATCGAAGAACTAACTATTATTGTATTTTTTTTACTGGCATTCTCTGTATGCCACCACATGTGTCAGCTCGGTCAATGCCTCCATGACGTTACTGGTTATATGTACAACATCTCACCTGCTCACTAATTCGCTATTGTGTCATAATGTTCTACTACACAGGAATGGAAACAAATAGAATTGTAGTTTTTAATGCTGAGAATACGATAGCTAGCTACGATAAATATTTCCATTAATAACAGGATCCTTTAATTTTGAACCGACTTCAAAAAAGAGGTTATCATTTATCAAATCTTTTCTTATATTCGTGTTAAATGTGTGTACGGATGCCTTATTGTAGTGAAAAATATCTCACCTGTAGCTGACATCTTCTACTGCAAACACGTAGTTGACATTATACATGGAGTTGGTAGCGTATACAAGCGCCAACATGCACATTGTCAACACCTGGTGTTTCCCGAACGCGCCCAGCTTTTCCAGAACATCGTCTAGGTGGATTCGCTTCTTTTCATCAGAATCCTCCATTTCGTTCAGATCATTCAAAGAGGTTTTAAACAAACTTCTTCAATTCATTTTTCGGGATCCATTTACTTGAAATCCATTTCTGTTCTTTTTTTGTAATATCCAATAAAACGTGAGTTTATATTGTTTTTATGTTTGGTGATGTCATTCAATAATAACAGGCGATTATTGTAAAATTTTAGTACGCAAACGTGTGCACTTGAGGACACTCTCGAATGAATAAAAATTTATTATTAAAGTAAAAGTATTTTATAGAGTAAGTGTTGGCTTCTCGTACTCAGTCAGTTATGACTAGTAAGTAGTAGATAAATATTTAAATTGATTATCATTTGTTTGTTAACCGCTTCTTGAATTAAACTGAATTGTTTTCACAGCCTGTCGGAAATTGTCAGTTGAATAAATTTTACGTATTTTATAAGCATTTATTATTTTATTACATACTAGATGTTATCTCGCAACTTCTCCCGCATAAATTACAGTATGTCACCGGCGCGTAATTGTGCTTTGGCTTTTAATTTAACCCAAAATTTTAAAAGACATTTTTTGAGCTTCTCGACTGTGCTATTAGTCTAAACAAATAAAATTAAAAAAAAACGTCGCAGTTGTTTTGCAGCCTATTCGATGCAAACAAATAAACAATCAAATCTTTTCTCATTATAATATTATGATTATATGGCTGTATTGAATTGTAACAGAATTATTAGTGTCCATTTAGTCCTATTAGACAAAAGTTTATCTTCTGACTAGAAACTCATTAAACTTGTCACTGTATTTTTCTTTAGGATTATCTTATTAAATAAATGTTAATATTATTATTATTGATACGTATTTGAACATATTTACATGAATACTTTTGATATCATGATAATCATAAGCTTAATGCTTAATCTGCTGATCAACCGATCTGTTGATCTGTTAAACGAAGTTTACTTTAAATTTTACTTAAATTGATTGATTGTGTGATTTTTGCTTAAACATTCAATTTTGGTGTACTTGATCTCAGAATCAAAAATATACCTAATACTAATGTTGATTTATTGAATAGCGCAGATTAATTATTGACATATTGTGCTCTACTTTTTAATAACACCTAACATTTTAGAGAAAGTTTTTCATAAAATGCGCAAGGACACTTTTTTGAGCTTTTTATAGTCTAAAAATATATAGAATCATATCTCTTTAGTACTCGTATCGGTTGTAGCGGCCTCAAAATTTTTAAATATTATTGATATTTAAAAATTATTGATATTATTGATGATATTGATAAATAGTAAAGAAAAAGAATATTCGAAATATTAACTATGAGTGTCTTCTATCTACTGTTATGTTATTGTACAAAATTTGTATCAGGATAATTATTACGTCATAAGGAATAAAGACTTCACAATTTTCAAGCACAAATTTAGAACCCTAAATGTAACTGAAAATTACTTCAAAATGCGATGCACCGGCTATCCTAGCTCAATTTGTATGGCCGCGTAGCGATTTTGTTGGTATTTGTGATTTGGCTTTATGATAGAATCACAAAGAGGAATGGAGCCATAAACTGCCGGTTATATTTAGTCACACGCTGTTTGGTTTCATACATTTATTATGGGATTTATTATATTAGTCCCGTCCCGCGTATCGATCCAGCAAATCTAAGAAAATACCTACCAGTCAGTGGCGTTGTGGGCTAAATATAACTGCCACTTTACGTGCTTGCCGAAGAACATACGGCACATAAATAACTTTTACTTGTGTATTGTAGGTACCGACGTTACAATGATTTGGCATCGCACAATAACTATTATTTATCTGACGATTCGCTGACACATTTTATGTCATATAATGTACACTTTAAGTGGGTTCATCAATTATTTTTGATATTAACATTGAAATTATTTTCTTTTTTTAGAATTATCGAATGCGCGCATCTCATATATATATTTTAAAATAAGTTTGCTATATCGCGTATTAGAACAGGATTGATGCGATGTTCGCGGCTTACTGAGCTAGTAGGTATCTAGTATATTGAGCAAATGACACGACACGAGCTATGTAATGATAAGATTGATGTCTTCCGGACAGTACAGTCCAGCTCTCTTGAATGGCAAGTATCGTAGCCTGATTAGAAGCATCTCTGTAGTACAGTGTACGTAGTTTAAAAATTTTAATCAGTTTTCATAAAATCCATGACGAAATCATGGATTTTGAACGTGTCTTAAAAAATGGTAGTAAAACTTCGCCTTAAAGTATTTTAATACAAAAAGCTGATTATCCTTAGAAAACAAATTTTTAGTAAAATGCCCCAAATTAAAAGAAATACCGCGATGCAATGTCGAAGTTATTTGATTTAGGGTTTTCTTGAATACGATGGCTGACAATACGCGACAGTACAAGCTTCATCCAGATGAGACAGCACTAAGATACAGTCGACAGCACGTCAGACTATACAAAACCATGTTTTGCTTCGCGTCCAGCATGCATACCACGGTAAACTCAAACACGTTTTGTCTAAATAAATTATTCTCGAGTCGTGATTAAGGTGAGAAAAATGGGTGCAAACAAAACGATATACAGTTTCATACAATCGCACGGTTATACTCGTATGTAAATACGAGAAGTCTAATGTAGCAGTGGTCGGTCTTTCAGTCGCGACCGGTCAAGTTGATAGGTTGTATAGGGAAAAGGAGGGCAAGATGGAAGGGCTAACTTTGTGTAGTAATAAATAGAAATGTACTTGGCTTAAGTCTCTTATTTTTGGTTCTTGAAAGGTAATTAAATAAGGAAAACAAATTTCTAATTAACAATTATTATATTCTAGTAAAAAATGAGTTATTTTTGATTTTTTTTGTAGTGTTCCATGGTCTTTTTTTTGCTGGTTCTCTCACTGTTTAGCAGGCTGCAGTGTTCTATGTTACGGTGGATACGTTGGGTACGGTTTTGGTTGCAGTGGTACAGTGGGGGGAGGGATGTGTTATCAGTATCAAATGACACTGGCTGAGCAATTGTGCCATACTCGTGACCACCTAGTTCAAGAACCGTTGCGGCCTTGCCCGCCCTTGCTCACTCATTCGATAGATTTTTCATTTTTCTGTCCTTCTCACTTGCCATTGAGTGAAAGAGAGCGCATGCTCCCGCGCACCATCACGCGTGCCTCGCCTGTGATCAGAATGCAGAGTGAAGGATCATCCGGCTCGTTTGCCATCAGCAAACAGTTCACGTCACACGATGGACTCAGTGAATAACATGTGTAATAAGCTGTCGAATCATAATTATTAATGTCAAAGACTCATTTTTTCCTTCACAGGAAAAATATTTAATAAATAAATATAGTCAATAAAAATAAATATTCTTTGTCTTCTAAAAGCCGTCTTGAACATTTTATAGTGCCAATGCAAAATGGTAAGTCGAAATGTATCCCATTTCCAGGAATAAATCAATTATTTAAGTAATTTAATTGAGTACTGAATTTCAATCTGGTAATGGTTAAATATATACCACTTATGAAAATGTGTCTAGTATTTGTCAAATACTAGGCATAGTTGGTGCTTTATATAGTAAGGTCGATTTGAGAGATTCGTCACATTAAATCAACCATAAAATTTGTGTTTTTGGTTAATCTATAATTATTCTAAATGTGATGTTATATCTACCGGTTCGTAAGTAAGCGACAGGCAATGGCCATTTCATAAAATTCAATTAATCATAAAATGTATTAAATTAATCCCGTGTGCTACTAATAAATAAGTTCTAATTTGGTAATAACACAAACGAAAGGAAGGTAAATAAATTTTGAAGCAATTTCAATTTTATTCATTGTAGTTAAAAATCTTTACTTGAGTGTTTTATTTTTTAGTATATTACCATTTAACCAAAAATTGGTTCCTAGTTGATTCTGAAACAAAAAACTTGCCTTTGTTTAAGTCAAGTGTATACTAACTGTTAATTACAGGTTAGTAAAGAAGAACCGGGCATAAATTGATGTTTTCGAATATTTGATTAATTATTGATTTGCGTAATGAGTTTTTATGGTAGTTGAAGCAATGATAAATGTAGCTGGTGTTTAAACAGGGCAGTCAAGATTGTGTACGGATGTCAACGTGGAGTTTAATTGTGATTCAATGCGCTAGTTTTTATGTTATTAATACCTAAATATATCGTTCTAATCTTCGTTCTTATCTCTCGTTTTTGTTGTATTGGTAATAGGGAAATACATTATACGATTATATTACGGTAGTTCCATATAGTAGTCATTTCTTGAATACTAAGGAAAGAACTAGAATATACAATGTATTTAAGCTCAATCCACTGAGGATATGTTAATAAGTATTAAAATTAATTATCATTTAAAACTGGATAACTAATTTGATAATTTCAAGTTAACTCTAAATTTAAAGTTAACAATAGAACAGCGATTGTGTCATAAGTTATTTAATTTTACTAGACGTCGTTTATCAAAGTCAACAAAATTATCCCAGTCCATTTAATTACAGAGACACGTATAAATACTATAGCGGCAATCGGTAACAAAGTTCAGCGTTCAACTATAAACACCAATTTTCAAACTTCATCTTGTTTAGTTTTACTCTATGGTAATAAAAATATGTAAGTAAGAGCACAATAGATAACGAAAATCTCAAAGATCTTGAATTATTTCGATACATTGACTTTCCAGTTTTAAGAGTGCAGGGGCCAGTCAGTAGTAAGATCATGCCGCGTTCACACCTTCTTGTTAAAGTAAACAAAAACGGTGGCTCCCGTCAGCGTTGCGGTCCCCCGGGGAGATTACCACAGAATTTATATACCTTAGAATTGGCTTGCAGAAGGGACACATGTTTCACGACAGCAAAACTCAAGCTACTCTTGACTATGATGGTGACTCCCAAATGTGACAATAGCGGCCGTCCATAAATTACGTCACACAAAATTCATGATATTTTATCCCCCCCCCCCTTTCCTGTCACATGTTTGTCTATACAATTTCTACTAAATATTGTTCTCATGTCACAGTTCGTTGACCCCCCCCCTCTCCTAACGTGTGACGTAATTTATGGATGGCCCCATATCGCAACACACGGTTGCATCATTTTGCTATATATTGATAGGTAAATATTATGATACTAATGTGGTCTTAAGACCCAATGAACTATTGAGAGTCATATCGAAACTACTATAGACTCCAATAAAATATTATGGTATTTGCTGTCCAAAAAGGAGCAGTATTTTTGATTTGAAAGTCCTTCGGCTGTACTGCGTAACTGATTGGTGTTTGATCTCTCATCAGAGAGAGAATACTGGTTGACCGTTCAGGGCTTCATTTTGATGGATTAAATAGGAATTCAGTTACACAGTAGAAACAATGATTACTGAAAATTAACTTTAGTACGTTTGAAATATAGTCCTATGCCCGTACTGGTCAGTTAACTAGAGTACTATAATGTATATTATATTACGTGAACTTATTTTATTAAGTAATATTAGCACCATATTGTCATGGATCTAAAGCATCTTCTTTTATATTTTACTAAAATATTAAAATAATTCAAAAGTAATGCAGTACCTATGTTCATAGTTTTGAAAAGGTATATAGTTTCTGTAGTAAAAATGTTTGTAAGGAAACAATATAATCTAGTACTATAGGTTCTCATAAAAACGATGTATTTGCCATGATATACATTTTCAGTTTTCTATGGAAGCAACCATAACCATAATTTCCTGTATATTCTATGGCTTCTACCGACACCGTCGGCTCAGGCACAGCTTCTGCTACTCTCAGTTTTTACAATATATCTTGTAGATCGATTATTTTTTTGAAAGTTGTAACTGGACGAAAAGAGCATCAAAAATGTGCTTAGTTTTATTAAATATGTGTATATGTGTATGTATGATTTAAGCTAATTTAGAACTTAAAGAAATCCCGACACTTAAAAATTAATGTAAGTTACAAATATACATATTCCGTGATGGATTTTATACTGTTTATATTTTGTAATGTTCTATGTTATTTAGTTGATAGACATGCCAATTGCACTGTTTTTCCAAAGGTGTTTGTGGTACAATACATATTCTAGATTTTAAAACTATTTTATTCATTTATTACTTCCATGAGATCACAACCTATATGTAAAAAAGTGTTGGCCCAATTCTTGAATTACGTGGTTGAATTTGCAATGTCAACTTTAAAATACAGAAATTAATCCTAGCTATATTTAATTATGTCAGTCAATCACTGTCATTCTAGTTTTGCGCGCCTAACAAAGTATATTATTCTTTAACAAGATCTTGAAAACATGTGCAAACATTAAAATCGTATTTTTTGTCGCGCAGTCGAGCGCGAAAGATTCGATTAAAATAGGTGTTAAATCGGTTACTAGTAAACTCCATTTTAATTTATCAAATTTGAATTTATATAATTAACTTAGAAAATGACTTCTACTGTCATTGCCTTATTAAAATTTACACGAT